TTATTATTTTATGCCCAAGAAAACAGTCCTCACATGTATTGGATTTAAACATACTTTAGTGAAAGATTTCTTCTGGGGGGAAATTTCCTCGTTTCTTCATCTGGTAAGACTGAATCAGGATCAGAGTGATGAAGTAAGTCTGCATAAACAGAGTCGGAGAGAGGAATCGCCCTGAGTAGCAGTCGTGGCTGCAGAGCAGGGCTGAAAATAGGGAAGGAGGCGGCCCTACTGAATCATGCTGCACCTGGGTTGAGCACTGACTGTGATGTTCTCCACGGAGGTGTGGCTTCCGCAGTTGCTTCATCCCTCCTGGTGGAGAACCCAGCTGGGGAGTACATGGGAGCACTGGAGCTTTCAGGCAGAGGGAAGAGGTTCTTCTAACATCAATTTTTGGTACCCCCTGACTTCCTTGTGCAGAGAGCATCACTCTCTCTGAGCTGGGACTTCCCATTTAAAGAAAAAAAAAAAGGCTGTGGTCTTGAGAAGGTCAGAGCAAGACTGCTACACTGCTGAGCAGGCACATGTCATGTGCAGAGACTGGCATCACCATATGCAACCTGGGCCCAAGGGAGCCACTGTCATCTGTATACCTCAGTAGCTGTCACCGGGGGTCAAACAGTCATCCACAGGCCTCCTGCACTGGCTCAAGTGACAAGATACCCACAGACCGTGAAGAAGAAAAGGAAGTGTGACTCACCAGTTGGTTCGCAGAGTGGAGCTGGGAGAGAAATCAGCAGAGATCAGTACAAAGCAGCAAGTCCCAAACATGCCCGAAGCTTAGCTTCCCGAGAGCTCTCCCAACAACGCGCTCTCCTCCCCTCGCACCCTGCCCACCTCTGCCTTCCTCTCTCCTTTTTCTCTTCTTCCCTCTCTGTCTCCTTATTTTCCACCTCTTTCCTGCCCTGCTTCCTTCCTTCTTTCTCTCTGTTCCTTTTCCCACATTCCACATCAACCACTTGCCTACAAAACAACACATAGTCCAGTTTTATGATCATAGAGTGGTTTCCAACGATTTCTCTCATCTATGATTTATGACATGGGGGTCTTTCTTCTGTAACTACTTAGCAGCTCGCTTCCTCAAGGCCATCATCCTCATCCCTTCTCTCAAAAGTCTTGGTGGTCCAGCTCTGGACTTGCTGACTCAGAGTAATAACAGTCAGACAAGGAGAGTGGACAGGTTCATTCTCAAGACATGATGCCCCTTTATTTAACAATTTCAAAGCAGAAGAGGCTTATGTCCAGAGAAAGAATTTAGGTTTCTCTAAAGATTCTCTCATCTCCCAGGGATTTGACCCTAATACTATGGCACAATGGTCAAGAACGGAAAATTCTGGGGAAAATGCAGGTTTTGTAGCCAGATGATGTAGATTTGAATCCTGGCTCTTCCTCTTATAAACTGTGTGACTCTGGGAAAAATGCTTTACCTCTCTGTGCTTTAGTTTTGTTTTCTGTGAAATGCAGATAATAATAGACCTATTTCACAGAGTTTTATGAAGATTAAAAAGGTGATATCCACAAAATGCTTAGAAGAATGCTTGCATTCAATATTTATCTAGCATTCATTACCTATCACTCAATAAATAATATCTCATTATTATTTCCTATTTTAGTCCAGTTTAGTCTGAAATGTCTACTGTTTTAGGTTAAATGTTCATTTGAATAATTATCTCCTTGGGTAGGAGAATGGAATCAGTGGCGGCTAGCATGAAAATCATATTTTATTAATTCACGCACACAACAAATAATTTTGAGTGCCTACTACATGCCAGGCTTTGTACATGGCCCTGGGGTTACAGGAGGAATGGACAAAAATGACAATCTTTCCTGTCAAGAAAGTTAAATTATAGTGAGAGAGAGCCAATTTAAAAAGAAACGTGTAACATGATTTCAGAGACTGATCAATGCTGTAAGAAAAATAAAGCAGAAAAATAAGTTAGAGAGTATCTTGGGATGGTCCTATTTAGACAGATGTCAATTGAATAGAAATATGAATGAAATGAGAGAGCAAGCCTTCTGAATATTGGGAAAAGAGCATTCCTGGCAGAGAAACGGCAAATGCAAAGAACTTGAGAAGGAATGAGGTTGTCCAAGGAAGAGTGAGAGGGAAGATGCATCTCAAACTTGGGGGGCACTGGTTGAAACTAGTGTGTGAAAAGTTAAGCAGGAACCATTCATGGACGGCTTTGTGGACTTGGTAATAGTTTAGGGTTCTATTCATGCTGTAATGGGAGCTATGGACAGTTCTGACTTAATTTACATTGTAAAATCACTCTTTCACTGTGAAAAGAACAGGCAGACACGCAAAAGAAGCAGGGAGAACATTAGTGGGAGTTTAGTCCAGAAGAGTGGGGGTGATGGCTCAGGCCAGGCAACACTAGTGCTGCGAAGTGGACACAATTCAGGACAAATCTGGAAGTAGAATCAACAGGAATTACTTACAGATTGGATGTAAAGGGCAAAAGAAAAAGAAGAATTAAGCATGACTCAGATTTTTGGCCACAACGGCTGGAAGAATGGTGACATTAAGAGAAATGGAGATGTTGTAGGGAGAAACAGATTTAAGTTCTGTGGTGGCAGCAGTTCACGGGGAAGATTAAAGGCCCTGTTTGGACATGTTGAGTTTAAAATACATATTAGACAGCTAAATGGCAGATGAACACATGAAAGGTTTTCAAAGTGAGATCAAATTTGGATAAATAAGCTTTATTTTAAGCTATTTAGGCTTAACATGGCCCATTAAGTGTCTAAACTGTATAACTTGGGGAAATGAGTATGGATAGAGAAGTCTAGGTACCAACCTTGGGAAAGTCAAATATTTTGAGGTCAGTCAAGCAGCAGGCATTAAGTCAGAAAGAAAACCAGCAGAATACAGTATTCTAGAAGCCACGTGGAAAAGTAGTTCCCAAGAAGGGAGTGATCAACTACATCAAACACTCCTGAGATGTTGAATAAAATAAGAAATAAAAATTAAATCCTGGGTCGGGGAACATAGAGATGAGTAATGATATTAACAAGAACAGTTTCAACGGACTGGTGGGGACAAAGACTGATTGAAGTGGGTTCAAGAAAGGATGAGGTAGAACTAGAAAGACCTAGAACAGTTCAGCAGATTCCAGGGGTTAAGGATGAGGGAGGAGTTGACCATCAAGGGATTCAGGGTGTGAAGGAATTTTCAAAGTGATAGAAATCTTCTGTGTTCTTACCACGGTAGTAGTCGTATGACTCTAAATCTTTGTCAAAAATCATAGACAGTGCATCCAAAAAGGGAATCTTATAATGTAAGTTAAAAATGATTTTTAAAGGAAAGGATAAGAGAACATCAGGTAAAGATAGAAATGCACTGAAAACGGTAAAGGATACACAGAATGGTGAAGCAAAGGGAGCCCACATTTTTATTTTTTAAGATAGAAGATATTATAGCCTCTTTGTATATTTATAGGAATAATAAAGGATGGAGATATACTTTGATGATGGATCGGGGAGTCTGGAAGCCAATGCACACGTTCTAGGAGAGTCCTGTCTTCAATAGGAGGAGGGAAAATATACCCATGATGGCAGGAGAAAAGGCAGAGTATGTAAAGGCAAAAGTGGACAGGCTGATATATACAGCAGTAGAAAGATGAGGAAAATTTTCTTCTGACTGCTTCTATTTTCTTCATATTATAAATTGAGAGTAAGAAGAAAGAAGTTTGTGTAGAGAGAAGTAGGTGTGAAGAAATGGTCAAGAATGGAAGACCATTGACTATGAAAGCATTGGAGGATTGTGTGGCACTGTTGACGGCCACCTGAGATTGATGGTCCTACATTTGAAGGAAGCGAAGTAAGCAGGATTGTGCCTTTGGTTTAAAGTCACATTCAGCTGCTTAGGCAGAGGTGTAAAGCATGCAGAAAAATGTGTTAATCAGGAGAGTGCTATGGGGGAAGAGGGACGAAGGTGTATCCAAGGTGATGGACTGCAGAATCTAAGCTAAGTACTACAAAGAGTGAGGACATGACAATGGAAAAGTAATCTTGGGAAGCTGAAGGCATGTTGAAGATTCAGAGAAAGAGCTGGAAATACAGTATAGCCAGGTAGAGGGTAGATGTTGAAAACAAAGATGTTGGAAATGGGACAGTTTTTGGTGATGATAAGCTCTAGGATTTGATGGTAGAAATGGGGAAGTCAAGGAAGGATAAAGGAAAATAGTGTTGATGGTAAGAGGGCAGGGAAGTGAGAGGCCAATTTGTTAGATGAGTTGTCTTTGTGGCTATCAAAACCGCCAAGAACAAAGTCAGAATTAATAGTGAAAAGAAAGACATACAATGAACACTTCCTATGAGATAAAGGCTAAAATGATAATTTTCTTCTTTCTGCCCAACACTGAGCCCTCAGTAGGAAATAGAGATCTGAGTTCACCTGACCGTGGCCAGGCAGAAACTTAGTCCTGGGAAGTCCCAAAGCTCGTCAGGAGGCAGGGTGCTAGTGGTTGGAATCCCACACCCTTTTCTGAGTTGCCCTACTCACCACAGATCAACAGCAAGAGCCTCAGCAGCATGAGGACCAGGTCGAGGTCGACTGTAACTGAAGATGCTCTCTCACTGAAAATAGAATTCACCTCAGAGGTAAGAGGCAGTGGCTTGTCAGAGGAAGTCCGGCTCAGAAGTCACACGATTGAAAGCACAAGTTTACGGAAATAGAAGAAGGAACAAGAACCCTCTGGTGGCCAATCTCTATTTCCTCTGCTCTGGATGCCAAGAAAATTAAATATACTCCTTTTTTATAATTTGGTTCTATTTCCAAATTTTGAAGATAATGCATAATAATACATCAGCGCCTTCTTCAAGGACTCATGTATCTCAGAGGAGGTTTCCCGGAGGCCATTTCTGACTTTGATGAGAGTCTCTTCAGGCAGGAGTCCTGCTGAAATTCAAATATCATGCCCTTCATCTTTGATGTCTCCTCAACCATGTCTAATCAGCACATGCTTTTGTCTCAAAACAGCCTCTACTGCAGTCACACTAGGCACAAATGTCAATAAGGCAGGGACTGATGGGCTGTCACCCTGGTAATGTGAAATGTCTGACAATTGTGGCATATGATGATTTGTGGGGTCAAGCTACTCGTAAGATACTAGCTTTCTCATTCAAGTGTTCACCGTGTACCATATGTGAGCATGAAACAACTGAAAAATAAAATCGAGGGGAATTACAGTCTGGGGGATGCTTATAAGTGAAATACAGGAAATAGACATATGCAAACTATCTTCTGAGCATTTGGGGTCAGTTCATTACTATCACTAACCCTGGCATTTGTAATACTGTTCCTCCCCTCACCCCAAATCAGGGTATCTATGATCTCTCCCATTTCTTCCTTATGCACATTGGGGCTATCAGTTCTCCACACCTAAGGCCTGTATATAATTCATACTGTGGATCTGAGGGGAATAAGCCATATTAACTTTCAACATTTCCTGAGTCTTTGAGTGTCTAGAATTAAGCATATGTGGAAGCTAAGATATTAGGGGGCATAGGAAGATGCTATTCAGCAATGGCATCCAAGTCCAGGTATCAAGTCCAAAGAGAAAGATTGAGAAAAGAAACTAGTGGCCAAAGATGTGCAAAACTGGAGGGGAGTGGGAGCAGTGTTGGGAGCAGACTAAAGGCCCCTAGGAAATTGCAAGAAAACAAGACAAGTATGCCACAGCTTTGTTTATTGACTTGGGAAAGCCTCTATGGGGATGAGTTTGCCTAGTTTAAAGTTTCAGGACCAAGGCATAAAATACAATGAGAATAAACAAATGGGACCCAATTAAACTTACAAGCTTTTGGACAGCAAAGGAAACCATAAACAAAACAAAATGACAACCTACGGAATGGGAGAAAAGTTTTGCAAAAGATGAAACTGACAAAGGCTTGATCTCCAGAATATATAAGAAGCTCACATGACTTAACAAGAAAAAACCAAAAAACTCAATCCAAAATGGGCAGAAGACCTAAACATGCAATTCTCCAAGGAAGACATACAAATGGCCAATAGGCACATGAAAAAATGCTCAATATCACTAATTATCAGATAAATGCAAATCAAAACTACAATGAGGTGTCAGCTCACAACAGTCAGAATGGCCATCATTCAAAAGTCCACAAATGACAAATGTTAGAGAGGCTGTGGAGAAAAGGCAACACTCCTACACTGCTGGTGGGAATGCAGTTTGGTGCAGCCACTGTGGAAAACAGTATGGAGATTCCTCAAAAGACTAGGAATAGACTTACCATATGACCCAGGAATCCCACTCCTGGGCATATATCCAGAAGGAGCCCTACTTGAAAAAGACACCTGCACCCAATGTT